CCCCCACCTGGACATTCTACTGTATCCTGGAGAGCCTGGAATTCTGTGATGTCACCTGTGTTGTGGCAACGCCAACTGCCCTTGAGGCATTCGTTCAGTGCCTGTGTGGTTCACCCACAGCCATGCTGACAGGACTGAACAGGCTGCTTGGGAGACAGGATGGAGAGCGCAGGGAGGCCAGAGAGAGGCACAGGGAAGATGGCCTTCAGTCTCTGAGTCAGACATCAAGAAATAAATGGTTCTGGAGAAAGCGCAGTGAGTCCTGGGCAGGGGAAAGAGAGATTCCTGAAGGATGAAGGCTTAAGTTGATCCTTTCAGGAGTGGGACTCAGGAGGTGGGAGTTCCTGGGAAGCGATGGTCTTTTTCTGCTTTTCAGAGTTACTAAAGAGCAGACCCAGAGTTGAGGATTTGTGATGGTGTGTTTGGCAGAGAGCCAGGGAAGGTCAAGACTTCAACTGCTGTGCTGAGGGCCCTCTGCTTTCACTCTACATCTGCGTGGGAAGCACAGAGGGACCACAGTGGTTCCAGTTCCAGCCCTGCCCTTCACCGTCACCGGATTTCTTTTGCTTGTGTGTCACAAAAAAGAGGGAGAGTCACGTCCCCCAGACAAGCTCCCAAATAAATCACACACCGAGGCTTCTTCTTTCTTATGAATGCCTGCCCTTAGCTTGGTGTGTTTCTTGTCAGCTCTTCTTGACTTAAATTATCCCGACTACCTTTTGCCTCTGGGCTTTTATCTTTCTATTCTATAAGTCCTATACTCACTCTTATTCCATGGCTGCTGAGTGAGTTGGTGGCTGACCCCTGGAGTCCTCCTCTCTTGTTCTTGGGCTCCTCCTTATTCTCCTCTCAGAGTTCACCTTCTGTTTATCCTCTCTGCCTGCTAGTGCCACCTATCCCTGCTTCTGTCTCCCTCTTGGCTGTTCATCTCTGTTTGTTTGTTTGTTTGTTTTTCGAGACAGGGTTTCTCTGTGGTTTTGGAGCCTGTCCTGAAACTAGCTCTTGTAGACCAGGCTGGTCGAACTCACAGAGATCTTCCTGCCTCTGCCTCCCGAGTGCTGGGATAAAGGCGTGCGCCACCACCGCCCGGCCTGTCCATCTCTTTATTAGGACCATCAGGTGTTTCAGACAGGAACAGTAACACAGCTTCACAAAGTTAAACAAATGCAGCATAAACAAAGTCCCACACCTGAAAATAATATTTCCCAACATTGATGGACATATCGGGCAATAGTGATTGGGGATGGAGACATGGCTTGTGGGTCTCAACTAGAGGATAGCTGTCTACTCTGTGAGGTCTGCAGTGGATTCCATGCATTCCCCCTTCCTCAGGCCTCTTCTAGGGACTCAACATGGTCTCTCATGGCCCCGTACCATCTAACTGTACAAATTCACTGCTGTTTGTCTACCTACAGGGAGTACTGGAAAGGCACGGACCTCAGCCTCCCTCACTGAGCAGGAGCAGCAGATGAACAAGGTCGATGAACTGACCCCTCAGCTCCAGATGATGACCAATGAAAGGAATGAACTTCGTGCGATCCTGGCCAATTATACCAACAATGACGTGAACAACAGGTAGTCATTATGTCCCGTTCTCTGGTGACTGTCTTGACCCTCCTGTGTCCACCCCAGCATTCCTCATGTCACCTGAGGCTGCACCTCCACGGTGTCCTCCTGCCCCAACTACTTTTCCCGAGTGCATCTGAGAGGCAGAACTGAAGCCTGGGTAGGAGTGAGATGGGGACACAGGCTGTTCTGCTTCCTCCCAATGAAAAGCAGAGCCTGTGGCCCGAGTCACATTCTATGGATGGGGCAGCAGTGTGTGAGCTCACTACACGCATTTCAAAGAGGCCTGGACAGGTGTTCGCTTGTGTCAGATGCCGTTTGCTTAGTTCATGGGAGTCTTTGTATTTGACTGGGGGAATTCTTGCTGGTTGCTCTGGAAGCTGGGCCTGGTCCCACTTCGTTTTTCTCATGTGTGACTGGACGAACTGGATCACATCCCTGCACCTCTCTGCCCTTGTTCCTTGTACTCTGAGATAATGCCACCTACCTGCATTTCTCTGGCATCCTAATTGTGTATGGGTTTATGTGTGTGAAGGGCTAATGGGCCCAAACATTGCCAATATGGCAGTGGTAGATTTTACCCTATTCATTACCCTCTTCCTTGGTAAACATTAAATTGAATTCCTAAAATTTGTCCCCAAGGTTCATACCCTTGTTTGGCCACTGACTCATCCCTGAAATCAAACACCAATATCCAGCAATTAAAATCCATTATTTGGCTATTCTGGCTTAGCTGTCCAATCAGCTCTCACCAACTCATCCTAGCAAAGATTATCCCTTATCTCCTTAAAAACCCACAGTTGAAAAAAACACCAATTGCTTGTTCTCAGCTGTTACTTGATACAGAGGAAGGCCCCCATGAATTCTATGATTGCTCTACTGAGTCAATAAATCTCCTTTGTGCTGTGGTGTCTGGTGTGTTCTGTACTGTCTCTGAGGGGTTCCCTTACAGTCAAGTGTGTGTGTGTGTGTGTGTGTGTGTGTCATCCAGATCCTGTGAGTCAGAGATTGGTAGCAGGGCTGAGGATTTGTCTGTCTCAGAGTCTCAGGTGATATAAGTGTTGAGGCCCTGGAGTCCCACTTTGAGCATCCCTGCCCTCATTCTTTGGGCTTGCCTTGGTGACTGAAGGGAATTCCCTGGGGAGTTTATAAAGTCATTGTACCGTACGGTCTCCTCCATGGAAATCCTGATTATGAGTTTTTGGGATCATTGTTAAAACAGGAACACAAAATAAACATTTTTTCCTGAAGACAGGAGACATGACACCAGAGTTTTCAGGTAGGCCCAGATCCATAGCACAGACACCTGGGACATCTTAAAAAGAGCTAGTTTGTTCCTCCAGGCTGACTAAGGAAGCTCATGTAGCCCTGTCTGTCTCTCCCTTGATGCTCTGCCTTTCTGTCCCTGGGGCGGCTTAGCAAGTCTAATAACATCAACAGGTCTTAGTACCTAGGATTCAGGATATGACAGCCAGTGGACTAGGATAATCCAAGACACAGCCTTAATTCATGTGTTCATGGGGTTCTGATGACTGTGTTCATGGGGTTCCTTGTTCCTGGGCCCATGCTCTACCACAGGCTGAATTCTGAGCTTGAGGAGCTGAAAATGGGTCATCAGAAGGAGATGTCAGAGCTGGAGAAATTCCCCAAGGAAATTAGTGAGGCCTCTTCCAACTGCAAGGAGCTGACTGATACCAACTCCTACAGGTGAGTAGTCTGACTGGATGGGACCCCACACTTGGGAAGAACAGCTGCTGCACTTATTTCTCTTTGAACCAAAGTGAGGGCTGTGCTTCTAGCTTGTTTACCTTGTCTTTGTCCTCCCAGACTGATTTCTCCCAAGTGCAAGGAGTCTGAGAGCCCCTCCCAACATTGTCCTGTTGGCTTCCAGAGCTTCTAGATAAAAAACATGGTTTGCACCATGAATGGTCTCTAGGACTCTGACAGGGACTTAAAGAGCCTGTTGCTATGGGAAACAGATGTGGAATGTATTCCTCTTGGGTCCTCTGTCCTCTCTCAGAACATGTTTGCTCTATACCT